ACACACACACACACACACACACACACATATATATATATATATATTTGAACATAGCATGAAAGATATTTAAAATTGTATAAAAAGATTTATGTTGCTTTTAATTAATTAATTAATTTTTTATGAATTTTAAGTTTTAAAAATATTTTTAAAATATTATATTATATTTAAAATCACGTGGCTCTATACCATTAAATGTGTGGGCTCCACACATATGTCACGTCAGCAATTTAACAAAAAATTTGATGGAAACTAACGGCAGAGACCATTTTGATGTGTGGATGGTAACCTTAAGGACCACTAGTGTCACAAAAAAATGTTATGGACGAAAGGTGATAATTTCGTAAACTTCATGGACAATTTGTGATAAAAAGACTAAAATAAAAAAGCTATTAGTATAGGAGGTTCAAACTCAGTACAAAAGGAGAAGACATTGTCTTGGCCAATTGACTTAAACCCTTATTTGATTCCATAAGCAATTTTTTTAAAAGCACAAAATCTAGTTTTACCGTCCCCTTCTCCTCGGCTCTATATTATAATAAATATCTACTTATAGACCAATAGGCTCATGTTCAAATTCCAGTAGCACCATGGCAGTGTGTGTGGCAAAATTCCCTTCCCCCTTCTAACTTTGGCTAAGAAAAGCAACAAAAAAGAATATATATCCACTTACATGTGGACGAATTATACCACTTGGACATACTCATGTGCTACACTATATTACTCGTAGTCACCCACTTTTGGATTTAATCTAAAAGTTTTTTTTTGGGGGGGGGCGGGGGGCGGCAACCATTGACAGCAGTCCACAAAGAAAAGATAACAATACACAAAGAAACTCCTAAACACAAAACAGGACCATAACAAAACCAGTCACAAACCAGATCCTACACTGCTCAGCTAGTACACCACTCCTTGCGGAGGACAAGGGAGGCCATCACAGGACATAATGACCACCAGGGAGCTTGGGGTCTACTGACCCAATCTTCAGCCAGTACCACTCCTCCCCGCGGAGTATAAATTAATATCATAGACGATCGATTTCTGTGCTATCATTTCAACTCAACTCTCGTTTTTTTTACTGGTTACTTACATTCGAAACTTCAATTCTTTCAGACAACAAATAAGATGTATTGACCCAAATTTTAATTTGTGAGGCTTGTTTTCTCATATTTTGATGTATCAATTCTTGTTTATCCTCTCTAGAGTCTATACAACCGGTTCACTACTTGTCATTGCAAAACTGATTTTGTGTTAAAAGAAGCAAAAAACATATTCAAATATATTACCTCTTGATTTTTGTGGCAAACAGAGATGAGAGAAGTCATGAATCTGGGAACTTTTAGATAGGGTAATCAAGATATGAGAATCAGATTAACTACTCCCCTTTGTTGCTTCCTTTCCTGATTTTAACATGGAATCTACATTTTTTTATTATTCCTTATGTGTTAGCAAACGCAGTGGAAGTTAGGAATTGGAATCATTCCAATACTCATGTGTTAATAAACACTAAAAAGTAGGAATCGGAATCATTCCAATACTGATACGTAAATATGTTGTTTTCTTCTCTTTAACTATTAAAAAGTGATTATTTTATTCTTCTAACCGATCCAGGGAAGGTGGCTCAAAGTAATGTCTTTCAGCATCAACTTCCAAGATGTCAATTCATTCTCCAAGGTCTAAAATAATAACCATGTAATTGAATGGTCAAGTGATTTCGGACTTAGGTAATTTTTTACATAAATGGTATTTGATGAGATATCGAAATACTAGACGTTCATATCATTGAAAGACAATGTGCGGTGGTCTATACATGCAAACCCGTTAGTTTTGAGAGGCAACCTTGTAGGGCCCACCAGTGGCGGACCCATAGAGGCGCAAGGAGGTGCAGTTGCAGCTCTTCTCGCCGGAAAATTCTGTGGAGAGGCCGGAGTAAGCCCCTCTTCTGGTGCCAAGGTTCTGCATCTTAGGTGTGTTGCAAGGCTTTTCAAAACGAGGAAGATGACTTGAGTTCATTTGTTTGCAGCGCAAACGAACTTTTGTTTCATTTCCTGTTAATGAAATGGGGAGTTTTGAGGCAATTCTAACTTTCAACAATTTACTACTTTAAACTTTTTATTATTCTCCAGCTCAAAAAGCATTTTTATTATCCATGACAACCATGTGCCACGTAGATAGAATTCCCTTCTATCTTCTACCTGATAGAGAACCCACAATCCCAAAATCGCTTCCCAAATCTCTCAAAGCTTTCTCCAGTGGAAAAGTGTTCATGGGTTAGTCTTGAAGATAAGTCATTATTAGTTAATATTTCATGTGGCTTTTATAGCTTATTTCTCACTTTTATTTCCCCCCTCCTCTTTATTAGTTATATGGCCGATTGAGTATTTTATATTTTGGGATTGATTATTGTGCTTAAATGACAATTAGTATTTATATTTGATTATATTAAATTGATTATTATGCTTCAATAATAATTAGTAGATTTATAATTTTTCTTGTCAAAAAAATTGATGTCTCAAAAAGCTTACTCCTTAATGATTTGATGCTTAAGTGTTCGACTAAATGCCTCAAAGAGGCTTTGATGTTTTGTTTGTAATGTTTTTTTTTTCCTTCATGAATTATGAATGACATTAGTATTGTTTAAATTCTAAGGGTATGTGGTTGTCTAAATTTTGTTTAGAACTTTTAACCTTTTAAATATTGCCCCTTCCCTGAAAAAATGTTGGGTCCGCCACTGCCACAGATTGTATTTCAATGATTCGAACCGTCTAATTTTTAGATATTCCCTCAAAGCTCATCTCTGTAAAAAGATCACTTGAATCCAAAATCATTTGACCACTCAATTAGATGGTGATTGTTTTAGTGTTTTCTCTCTTGAAAAACCGTGATGTCTTAATGGTTTTCTATTTTTTTAATTTTTTACAACAATGATATATTAAATAAGACTTGAAAAATAGATGGTTTTGATTGTTAAATAAAATTTGTCCGGGACCCTAAATGAAAAACCATAGTACTAAACAAATTGTAGCTGTTACATAAATTAGAATTTGTCATGCAATCACGTGCAACTATCAAACGACTATTAGTGAAACTAGGGAACTTGCTTTGCAATATAAGCACAATTAGTAAAACCAATATGCGTGTACCTGTCCCACATTGCCCATGTATAGACTGGAGGTTTGAGGTGGGCGCGTATAAATACAAAAGGATGAGCATGTGTAAAAATACTTACCTGGACAAGGTCTATGGGCGATCAAGAAGGCCCATGGCCTAGGTTGGTGACCTCCATTGCACTTAGGAAGGGTGTCTGCCTATGTTCTTCTCAAGTAGGAGAGCCAATGTCATAATTTGTTCCTATGGGGGCTTGCGTTCGCGCAGCCCCGCCCAAATTTCAGTGCAATATTTTAAAAAGAAAGTAATTCTAGTGCCCAAATACATATAATATATTTTAAAAGGGGAGAATTTGGGCAAGGGATTGAAATAGCATCTCCGCCCTATCCCGAACTTCATACTTGAAAATTTTCCCAAACTGATCCATTAGGGGTAAAGCCTCACAAAGACCCTGACCCATGAAGAAAATTATCATCCTTATTTATGTTTGAAACTTTCTCATTTTGCCCTAATTATTTTTATTTTTAATTTTCTCTTTTCTTCAATTTCCATTGAAACTACCAAATTTAGCAAATATGCCGGTAAATCATGACTACTAAAATTATAATTGTTGATTTATCAGTGAATCTTGTAAACTCGAGTAAAGAGAATCACTTTTTACTGGTAAACAAAAGAATGAACAATCATATCCCTCAATCTTTCAACCAACAGCAAAAGCTCATTTGGTTTCTAGGATTAGATTGGATTGGATTGGATAAGTCACTAACTCTAAGGTATATTGAAGGAGGAAATGAAGGTAGAGGTGAATGATTCTCCACTTTGGGGAGATTAGGAGAGATAAGTTATACGGTATTGTTATCCTACCATTTTGTGGGGAGTAGATGAGATAAGTTTTCTTTATGAGTACTTCATCTTCTACCTTCAACTTGGTCAAGATTTTTGTCATTTCTTCCTTTAACATGCTTCAAATATAGGGAGTTATCCAATCCAATCTAATACTAGGCACCAAATGAGCCCTAAAAGTTTTTACTTTTAGGCTTATGTGGATTTTAATTTTGTGTCTATTCAAGTTAGATTTTTGCTATATTTTGAAATTTTTTATAAAAATTGACATTCATGAAATTAGAGCTAAACTTTGACCACATTTGATAATCATTTCAATTTTAGTTTTTAGTTTTCATTTTTTGTGCTAAGGTATAGAGGAAAATGAGAGTGAGAATGGGAGTGAGGATACGATTGAGAGATAGGATGAGAGGGGAGGGTGGGAGAGACGAGTTACAAAAGTGAAAACAATTTCAAGTATATTTCAGTTTTTAGTTTTTCTTTCAACTTTTGTTACTCATCCCTCTCATCTTCCACTCTCATCTACCCTCTCAATCCCACATCTTCACTCTCATTTTCACTA